CTGGAACGAAGGTGGGGGGAGCTGCGCCGACCTGGGCCGCGGCTGGGGCTGGCATTGCTGCAGGGCGCGCAGGGGCACCGACGGGGCCAACCACGGGCCGGGATGCGAGGCCAGGCACGAGGAACTCCGGAGGCGCCAGCAGAGGCAGGCTACCGTCCACCCGCCGGGGCGGCGTCGGGCAGCGGGGGCTGTCAAGGAGGATCAGCCGCTGACCGAGGGTCGGCAGCGCCAGGGCCAGGCAGCAGCGCAGGAGGAGGCGGCGAGGAGCGCGCGGTGCCATTCCCACGGGGGAGCCCGGACGCCCAGTATGCCTGGTGCGAATATTGCGGCGTGCAGGGTGAGGGACGAGACGCGAGCTGCCCGATGTGCAATCGCACTTACCCCATTTCGATGGCCCAGGACCGCGTGAGGGCCAAGGAGGGGACGGCAGGGGCGGCCAGCACCGCCGCCATCTCAGCCAGTGAGGGCACCTCGCCTATCAGAGCGATGCCGAACGACTTCCAGGGGGGCGATCCGATCCCGCCCACCGTCGTGCAGCCCGTCAGCCTGGCCAAGGCGCCGCCGTTCGCGGTGCCGTTCTGCTGCGGCATAGAGGCGGACATGAACACGGCGGAGGGCAATATCAGTAACGTGTCGTACGTCTGCATCGGCCAGGACCGCGAGGGGCGGGATTTCAGGGGCACCCAGTGGCCGGAGGAGCTCAGCTACGAGGAGACCGAAGGCGAGGCCCGCGCTCGGCGCAGAAGGATCAACCCAGAGGAGGAGGGCGTCTGCCATATGGAGGGCTGCGGGAGGAGGCTGCCAGAGCTGTCGACCCCAGTGTTCTATTGCTGCAGGACGCGCTGGTACACGTTGGGGCGTAGTCACGGACCGGCGCGTGAAGCTCGGCACGCGCAGAGCGGCACGGGGGGTGGAGCCAGCGGGTCGGACAGGCGGGCAGGTGCAGTGGACGACGACGAGCGTTGGGGCATGTGGCAGCGGAGGGTCCGGACACGCCCACGCCTGGAGCGGCCAGCTCGTCAGGTGCGGTGGCGGCAGGACCTGAGGCGACGCAGGCCGAGGCAAAGGAGCGGGCGCGAGCCAGGGCGCCCGCCCCATGCCTTAACCCGGGGTGCCTTTACCTGGAGCGTAGCGATCCGAGGGAGCTCTGGAAGCCAGGCTACTGCTGCGACAAGCGCGGCGGCCGGCACAACGGACAGGATTGGGCAGAGGGCGGCGTCAACCACTACAAGTACTGCGAGAAGGCGCCCCGCGGCCAGAACGAGGATCAGCAGCCGAACGCGGGTGGCGGAGGCGGCGGCCGGAATCGGCGGAGGAAAAAGAAGCAGGCCCCACCCGGCGACGTGGCCGCTGTGATCGAGGCCGCCGTGGCTGCCGCCGCCGCTGCTTCTGGGAGTAGCGGATCGTCACCGGAATGCCCGCCCCCGTCGCCGAATGAACTCAGGAGGAGGGAGACTTAGGCAGAGGCTCGAGTCAAGGCCCCTCCTCCTCCGGACGTCGAAGCGGCACGTAGGGCCACTCGCAAAAACAAGCCGGGCGAGCGCGTCGAGCTGACGGCAAGGATGTTGCCGCCGACTGTCAAGGAGGAGGTGCACTCCGAGGGCGAGGGCGCGAAGGCATCAGCTGGTTTGGCGTCGGCCCGCGATGGCCGCGGGATGGAGGCCGGGGGCGGCGCGCGCGAGGCGGTGGGGCGCATGTACAGGAGGCTCTCGGAGCGGGCGGGGGGCCGCTCTACTTCGGAGCTGGAGGAGATCGACAGAGATTACCAGCGGGCCCTAGACGTCTGAGGCCAAGCGCGCCCTGAAGGAGGCTCAGGCCCTCCAGGCGCGGATCCGGGGCGCACGCAGCAGGGGGGAGAACGCCGCGCGGGAGCCGAGCGCCACTGAGGAACAGGAAAGGTCGTGGTCATCGGAGGAGGGCAGGCGCCCCCCGAGCCCTCAGCGGAAGGCGCGGTCTGCCCCGCCGCGGCCTACGCCTACGCGTGGGGCCGACTTCCGGAGGTCCGGGGAGCCGCTGCCGATGCCCATGCTTCGAGAGAGGACGTCTTCTCGCAGCCCACTCCGGAAGAGCGTCGCCATGGTGGACGAGGGAGGGGCAGGTGCGTCAGCTGCGAGCTCAACCGGGCCAGGGCTTCCGGGGGGGGTGCAGGAGGCCAGCCTAGCGGCCAGCAGCGAGGCCGGGATGGCGGAGCTGCGGGCGCAGGCCATCAATATCAAACGCAGAGAGGATGAGGCAGCTGAGGAGGCCCGGAAGGAGGGGGCTCAGCGCGGGCGGGTCCCGGGCGAGGAGGGCCCGCGCACGGCCCGCGGGTTGATCCTGGGAGAGGACGTCGAGATCGACCCGCGCGCGGTGGCACGCTACCTGGCGGACGTGCGAGGCTCTAGCGGCGCTGGGCCCAGCCAGGCGGGAGTGCGCGCGCATCTCGAGACCGTGGCGAAGGGATCGGGCCGGCGTCGCGACTATGAGGCAGGTCGCAGACGCAGAGGCGGAGGCGGAGACGACCGCCAGAGCGGATGCCTAGAGCAGGCCGAGGCAGAGGAGGAGCTGAAGGCGCTCGTGCGGGTGTGGGGCTACCCGGACCAGAGGGGGGGTTGGCTCGATTGGGCTCTAGCAGCTTTGGGCGCTGGCGAGGGTCGGGATCGCAAGGCAGGCGCGTCCACGAGGAAGGGCAAGAGGAGCAGCAGCAAGGGTCATGCCCCCTACGAGAACAAGCCACCCAACCTGCTGGACCCGGAGGCTGTGCGGTCCAGCGCCCGCCCAGGCGACCTCACTATGACAGACCTCAAGACGCGCGAGGACTGGGAGAGGGCCAAGCTGGAGCTCATCCTCGACAAGCTGGCCAGCTCCACCATCAAGTCGTACAGCCTGGGTTGGAAGTAGTGGGCCCTCTTCTGCCAGACTAGGGGCGTCAGCCCGCTGCGGGAGATCACAGCCGCGAACAGGAGAGATGAGGAGGAGCTGCTGATTGAGTTCGTCATTCACTTAGCGCGCCGAGGCTGCAAGAAGGCATGGACAATCAAGCAGTACCTGAGCTCGGTTCGGGCTCAGCACCTCGCTCTCGGCATGGGTGACCTCACGAGGGGGCTGGCAGGCTCTGGATGGCGATTGACGGGCTCCAGAGGCGCGACGGTGATACCAAGCGCAAGAAGCCGGTCACGCCCCGCATGATGAGGTGGATCAGGCGGAAGCTGCAGCCAAAGAGGTCGAGGGAGGGCGCGGCCCTGTGGGCCGCGGTGGCCACGGGCTACTTCTTCCTGCTGAGGGCCAGCGAGTACGTCTCCGGCGACAAGAACGGCTACACAGGCGGCAAGGGTCTCCGAAGCGCGGATGTGACCCCCAAGGCGGGTGGGGATCCAACGCGGGATTGGAAGGAAGCGAACGAGGTTGTAATCAAGATCAGGGCCAGCAAGACGGACCAGTACAATCGAGGAGAGTGGCGCAACCACTTTCGGGTCGAGGTTCCGTCGGGAGCAGAGAAGGACGAGCACATCTGCGTGGTGGAGGCGCTGGAGATCTACGAGGGATGGGCGCGAGAGCGATTTTCGGGTGCGCGGATGTACGACCCGCTCTTCGCCTACGACGACGTGCGTCTTGTCACGAGGGCGGACGTCCAGCGCGTGGTGATGCAGTCGGCCGTGGCGGAGGGCATGGACCCGAACGACCTGGGCTCTCACAGCTTGAGGATCGGAGGAACATCAGCGCTTTTTGCAGCGTTCAAGGACACGGCGCTCGTGCAGCGCTGGGGCAGGTGGAAGAGCGATGCTTTCCAGGGGTACCTCTGGGAGGCGCGCGGCATGGCGGAAGAAGTGGCTAGCAGTATGGCGGCCACGGACATCACAATGGTCTAACGGCCGAGCAGCCGCAGTGGCCTGAGGCTCGTAGCGCGTGGGCAGCTTGTGGCCACAGGCCTTGGGCTGGGAACGCAGGGGAGCGTCGAGGCCGGCAAGGCGGCGGAGGCAACCCACTGAAGGGCGATGAAAAGAGGAGGCACAGAGGTAGGTCTGCGGGCGAGGCGGGACGGACACCGCCGGAGGCCTCGAGAGGGGCGGCGGGGGAGGGGTAAGGAGGGACGAGTACCTCCAGAGACCCTGACGACAGCCTACCCTGAGCGCGTCGGATCCCGACCGCCCCATGGCGAAGTGCCGGGCAGTATGAGGAGTGCTCGGCTAGAGCGGGGCCAAGTCCCCCCCCCAGTGCGAACGGGGGCCCTCGGGGTGGGCCCCGCGGCTCGAGGTGCAGTGTGCACCAGAAGGGGGCGTGGGCCGTCGCGCCAGGGAGGCGCGCCGCCCGGAGCTCGCGCCTCGGCCGGAGTGCGGCCGAGGCGCCTTGTGCCACGAAAAGGCGCCTCATCATCGGCATCCGAGGAGAGGTGTGGAGTGTCGAGGACGAGGAGGAAGAGTAGGAGGAGACGGGAGGCGGCCTGTGCGGTCCAGGCCTCGGGAGGCCAAAGAGCCGCGATCCGCCCGAGGTCGAGGGGCGGAGCTGTGGAGGGGAAACTCTTTGTTTTGCTTGATGTTTCCTTGTGTGTTTGTTATGTTTCAGCCGTCGGTCTTTGGTTTATTTGGTTTTGAGATTGTTATGTGTTTTGTGTTGGTTTCCCACCGCCCACCGAAGGAATCGACACGACATTCCTCCACACACTGAGCATATACATGTGTATATTCATATGTAACCCCCTCCTTTACTGTTCCCCTTCCTTCCCCTCCCCTTCCCTCCCCCCTCCTCCTCCTCCTCCTCTTCCTCCTCCTCCTCCTCCTCCTCCTCCTCCTCCTCCTCCTCCTCCTCCTCCCCCCCCTCCCCTTTTTCCTCCTCCTCCTTCCTCCTTCAAGGAAGGAGGAAGGAGGAGGAAACATGGGAGAGGCAACGGAAATCTATGTGTACCCCCCCCAGAAAAAAAAGTCACGGGCCCGTCCATGATGTCCGCACATCCCCCCAATCACCGCGCCCCTCTTCGACGCCCCCAATTCGGTCCTCCGTCCTCCTCAGCATGATCCGCGAGCCTGCACGAGCATGCCGAGGAAGTCCTGCGTGTCCACGGCGCCCTCCTGGCGGCCAAGGGGGGGAGGGGGCAAGATCTGCGTGTCTGGAGCGAAAGAAGGGGCGGGGAAGGAAGGGGCGAGGGGGGGGGGGAGGGATGAGATGGGACTGGGGTTGGAGAGGGCAGGGAGGGCCAGGCGGGAAGGATGAAAAGGAGGAGGAAGAGAGGGAGAAAGCGAGCCAGGAAGAGGAGGAGAGACGGAGATGTGGGAGGAGATGGGAGGAGTAGAGGACAGTGGAGGAGTAGGAGAGGCGAAGGCGGAAAGAGGGGGACGACGAGGAGGAAGGGAGGAGGGGAATGATAAGGAACGAGGAATTGAATTGAATTGCGACCTGATTCGCCATAATTGCGGTCAGATAATGTAGGCACTCAAATAGCTCCAGACACACGAGCCATCGCAAGCACTAAAGCACGGGCGCCAAGGACAGTACGCAGTATCGGCCCAGCCTCCTCCCAATGACCCCCCCAACCATCCCGAGATGACGGCTGGCGCACTCTACCGGCACAACCGCACTCAGGGATGACGGATTCATACCCTGCTTCGCCAAGCCGCGAACAGGCTCCAGACCTCAAAAGGGCGGAGTACACAAGAAGTCTGCTCCATCCCCTCCCGCTCGCTCTAACCCACCCGCCCCAAACGCTTCACTGCGCCAAGTCTAGCTCAGACATCGACGCTGCACGAGGAGGAGGGGAGGGGCAAGGGGCAGAATAGATGAGCGGGAAGGGGAGCAGGTGAGAAGGACAATCGCCTCCCAGCGAGTCCGCTGCGGACACCTCCACGCCAAAGGGACATGGCGGGGCGCGCTATTCGCATTCTCGGCCAGGCAACCAGCGCGAGGGAGCCAGCAAGGAACAACAGGCAGCAAAATGCAGCACGGGGACGGTCCTGGGCGTTCTTCACGTCGTTCCGAAGGACGGCGACAGACAAAAGAAGCAGCAGCAACGAGAGGCAACAACCCTTTCCTGCTACCCCTTCTCTGCCGCTCGCAGCGCGGGGAAGAACGGACAGCGATGGGGCCAACAGACCCTTCCCTGCCACCCCTTCTATTCCGCTCGCCGCGCGCGGGGAGCTCGGCTGCAGTGGCGGCGGAAGAAAGGGGAGAGGAGGAAGGAGGAAAGACATCCTATTCTCTTCCTATCAAACCAGCTGGCTGGGCCTAATCGAACAGGTGAAAACTGAAATTGGGATCCGCTGCCCAAGGGGCCACAGCTCGAAGCCTAGCTTCACGCTCAGCCTGTAACCGCGCCTTGCGGCGCCTACGGGCCTCTTGCCTGTTCTCGAGAATGCGCTGCGTCTGGCTCTCCGATAGTGTGACTGGAGTCAACGGCACTGGCGCGCGACTCTGCTCACCTTAGAACGCACGCGCTTCGGCATGCCCCTCTTCACACCAGGCTACCTGCCCACCCATGTCCTCCTCAGGCGCCTCCCCCTCTGCCAGCGGTGTCGGAGGGGAGGGGGGGGGGGGGCAACTGGGTCGGGCATCGCCTCTGGTGCAGGGATGGGAAGAAACCTCGCCATCTCTGGGTCGGGCCGGGCACATTTCTTGGCTATGGACACGAAGTCGGGGGCCCACGACTCATCGGCGCACGCGTGTGGATCCCAAGAAACCCAGAACTGCAACAGCTCCTGACGCGTCGCATCTTCGCCACACATGTCAGAAGGAACCTCTTCGTCATACGATCTATCTCCGTCGTCGAAGATGGCACTGATGGTAGTGGCGATGCAGTCCACGATGCATCGGCACAGCGCAGGGGGATCAGTCTTCTTCTGGGCAGTGCGCCAAGCATGCGACTTCCGATCGTATCAAATGCAAGGTCTGGTGCCCACCCCTCCCATGCGAGCACCGTCCCCGCCCAGGCGCGTTGAGTAATGCTGTGTGCAGTCCTGGCATCCTCAAGGCGAGGATACGCGTCGGGGCCCGTGAACTCTGACCGTGTTCGCATTGGTCGAAGTCCGTGGTAGTGGCCGCAGGCGACGACTCAAGCGCGCAGAGGGTGCCAACTGAAAGAGCTGACGGCATGCAACCTCCACCCGCAAGGCTGGGAGTGCTCCATCCAGCAAGACGTGCCCGCCTCTAAGTGCACCGCAAACAATTCCACCATTGCTTGTAGTGGTGCATTTCCTACCCAGAGTTGCTCCATCTGCCGTGGAGTCACGTTAGTATTATCCCAGAAGGCATCGTGCGCACGGAGAGGGGGCGGCCCAGGGCCATCGGCCCATCGCGACGCAGACCATGTCTCGCAGGGGGGGCCCCCTCCGGACAAGACAACTCGACGATCCCGAATGTGCCGTTTCCAAGTCTCGAGGGTACGTCTGTCCATCGTGTCCCCTAACGTCGCATGAATCGCAATGTCTACCGAAAAAACATGGATACAACATTGGCCTCGTGATGAGACCAGTCCAAATGTGCTTGAATATCCTCAGCCCTCCGATGACCACAATGCAAATTCAACGCAAAGTACTCGGTACGGCGCACGTGCACAGGGACCGGGTCCGCAGCAATCCCTGTATACCGCTCTGTCAAGACCAAACGACTTGGGTAACGCTCCGTGCTATACTGAACATCCGAAGCGGGCGGCGGCGGCAGAACAGCGGCATCGACGTCCGGCCGTCTGTCGGGCGCCAGGGCCGCAGCCGCATCCGAAGACAAGGCCGGGTCGGACTCAAGCAAAGCAATACGGGCACCCACCTGACACATCGCACCATGCACCGTTGTTGTACACTGTGGGAGGGGCCCTTCCGCACGCACCGCGGGGACGATCACATGGCGTCTTCCAATGGGTATACCCGGGACCCTCCCTACCGTAGGCGCATCAAAGTCAGGGCACTGCATGTGGTAGCACGGCGCAGCACCCGATATCGGAGAGAGCGTGATCCACCGCCGCTTTACTGTGGAAAATTGCCAACCTTTTCCTCCGGAGCCCGGGGGTCTTCCCCCCCCCCCCCCGAAAATCCCCCCCCCCCCCTGCCGGAACCCCTCCCCCCCCCCCCCCCCCCCTCCCTCCCGCAAAACCCCCCCCCCCTAAACCCTCCCCCCCCCCCCCCCCCCTCCCCTCGAAAGCCGGGGGGGTCACTACCGGTTCGAACCCCTCCCCCCCCCCCCCTTCCGGATCCGGAAAACCGGGGGGGGGGGTCACTACCGGTTGGAACCCCCCCCCCCCCCCCTCGAAAACCGGAGGGGGGTCACTGCCGGTTCGACCCCCCCCCCCCCACGCACCGCCAGCAAACGACTCCCGGTCCCTACCACCGCTCGCATCACATCCCCCACTGTTGTTCCCAGCACCACTGTCCTCACCACCACTGTCCCCACTGGTTCCACCACCGTCCCTATTGTCCCCACCAATGCCCCCACCACTGTCGCACTGTCCCCACTGTTCCCACAACTGTTCCCACCACGGTTCCACTCTCCCCACTGTCTCCACGGACCCAACCACTGCCTATCCCCATTGTCCCCACTGTCCCACTGACTCCTCCGCTGTCCCACTGAGCTGTCCCACTGTTTCCACCACTGTCCCCACTGTCCCCACCACTGTCCCCACTGTACCTCTGTCCCATTGTCCCACCGCCGTCCTCGCCACCGCCTTTACCAGTGTCTCCACCACCATTGTACCCTCCACTGTCCCAGTGTTTCCACCTCATTCCCACTGTCCCCACACCACTGTCCCCACCACCACCGTTCCCACCACTGTCCACTGTCCCCCCTGTTCCCACCATTGTCCCCACCACTGTCCCCACCACTACCGTCCCCACCACTGTCCCACTGTCCCCCCACTGTCCCCACCACTGTCCCGCTGTCCCCTCACCACTGTCCCCACCAACACCGTCCCCACCACTGTCCGCACCCCCACTCGGTTTTCGAGGGGGGGGGGGGGGGGGGGTTCGAACCGGTAGTGACCCCCCCCCCCCTTTTCATGATGAGCTGGGGGGGGGGGGGGGGAGGGGTTCCAACCGGCAGTGACCCCCCCCGGTTTTCCGGAGGGGGGGGGGGAGGGGTTCGAACCGGTAGTGACCCCCCCCCGGTTTTCCGCCAGCAGCGGTAGAACACGCTCTTTCCGATATCGTCACACTCGGATCCGACACAGCACTCGTGGGATCACTGTAAATAGTATACAAACATCTCGGTGAATCGGACACCAGGTGGTCCACCAGATGCATGCGATTGTTGAATGTAGCAAGACACGCACAACACTGGCCGTTCGGCGCCGCCCACACACGCGCGATTGCTGCTTGCTGTCTATGTTGCCGAGCAATATGCACACGCCATGACGATTTCTTGCGAAAAACGATGTGACACCAAGGGCACGCATGCTCATCACGTGCGGCAGGGACGTGCGGAGCTGGCGGTGGGTCGACAAGCAATCAGTTAATGTCGGTATACACACGCTCGGGGACTCCGAGCGGTCGGACCGCCTGAAAGAAACTGGATTCTACGTCCTCGGCAGTCAGGGCTCGACGGTGGGCCTGCGCAGAGGCCTTCAGGGCTGTCCGAATGAGATGCTTCCAGCCTGGGAGACTTCGTCGGATAAGGTCCTCCCATGGACCAAAGTCCTCACTGGGCGGCGGCAGCTCGGCACAAGCGGCAGCAGTAGCGCGTAGCCAGTTACAGTCGTCCAGCGCAAGGCCGATCCACGACCTGGCGCGTGTGCCGCATTGCTCCCGAGCGTCCCATTCGGCCCCCAACAAGGCAAATGCAGGTCTCTGCCCACTGTGCAGCAGTGAACCCAGTAACCGCAAACGGGCTGCCCGTCGAAGCTCAGACGTTCCAGGACGACACAAGGTGGCTCGAATCTGAACATCAGACACACACGAGTCGGCTTCAACGAAACGGACCCTGGCAGCCGCACGAAAAACCTCCATGGTTTCGGAATCGGCCAACTTGGCCTCGGCGGCCGTGAGAGCGGCCCACGCGCCAGCGTTGTACAACCGTCCTGACATGACCAGCCTGTCGGCGAGAGTGAGACACGTAGGGTCCAGTATATCCCGATATGCACATACTTTGGTCCTGA